GCCCTGGGGGCACAGTTCGACGGCGATTTCCCCCGTGAGGTACTGCTTCTCCAGCTTCTTGTTGGAGCCCAGAAACGACATGATCATGCGGTCGACTTGGCCGGCCTCGGTCAGGAGAGCAAGCCCGCCACGCCCCTCGGCGCCCGCATTGTTGGACACGGCGGTGAGCGAGTGGAGGGATTCGGGTCCGCGTTTTCGGAGTGCCGCGATCAGTGTTGCTTTTCTGTTGTGTCAGCCGCTTGACTCGGCCTACTCTTTGATTGAGGCCAACAGCTGAAACAGCCCAAACTGGAACTTACAGGCCACACCACACAGACCGAAGCCCGAGCTCAAGAGCACTGAGCCGCTCTGGACGTCGGCAACCGCTTCGTCGGCGCTCTCCCACACCTTTGACCCGCCCCGTTCGACCGCGGGGACTGCCGCCGACCTCCAATTCCTCGAATGCGAAAAGCTCCGTATGCCGTTGACGTTTAATAACCTGATTCCCGCTGTTGCCCTCATCGTCCTCGTCGACCTCGCTGCTGCAGCCCCACCAGCGGCAAGCAACTGCCGGGAACATGCCTGCCGCGCCATCACAGGCGCCGTCTGCCTCACTGTCCGCGCGACGCCAGCCATTCTGTCGCTTTAACCAAAAGAATCTATAAAAAAATACCTCCAACTCGAATCGTCCAAAGGACCACAAAGCAGTCGCTCTTTTGACTCTCGGCGATCCGCGACCGCGTCGCCACCAGGGGTCCAGCCACGGTTCTTGTTCTGCCACCGTCGATCGGCGCCAAGACGACGTCACAGAGGGGCCGATTCGCCGGCGCCAGATTTGGAGCCGGGACAGCTTTCCCCGAAACCCACCTCGTTGAGGTCGGCTCTCCAAACTTGGGGTTCAGCGGCCCGCGCGGCGCCACATGCAAGATTACAGTATGTACCTGGTATGCGGCGCGGGGGCGTTTGTTTTTGGTACGACTTGAAAAGAAGGGCAAGTAACGACGTCGGATATCAAACCAAAAAAGAATGCATTTTAAAACACTCGCCAAATCTCTAACAGCTAAACAGTATATACCATGACTCTAGATCTATCTACAACTCCATCTATATACCCAATACTTGGTAAAGTTACCCAAGCAAAGACTCGCCAGCTCGTCAAACAATCACGCCAAAATCTCGCCACACTCATCCCCAAAAAAAGTCCTTAGCAGCCCGACGCCGAGCACCCAAGCGTAACAGCCGCGCCCAGACTCCCGGACGCGACGCCCAGGGAGGTGCCGATGGCGTTGCAGATGGCGCACGCGAGCGCCGACGTCTCGCACGAGATCTCGTAGTTCATCCAGCCCAGGACGTTGGGGTTGCGGCCGGACCCCGCGGGCGGGATGTTGTCCATGGTGGCGTCGATGGCGCGCGGGAGCCGCACGTAGTGGTCGATCTTGGTCTCGTACTGCTGGCACTGGCCCTCCTTGCCGGGCCGCGTGTCGGGCCGCTTGCAGACGTCCCACTTGGCCTCGCGCCGGGACGAGAACTGCGCCGTGGCGGCCATGAGGTCGTACGCGCCGGCCATCTTGCCCAGCGCGTTGGTCTTGGAGTCGGCCGCGTGGCACTTCCACTTGATGCTGCACTTGGACCCGATGCCGATGGGCGTCTGGTCGCAGTCGCTGCTGCCGTCCTTGAACGTCTTCCGGACCGTCGCCATGATCTGGTTGGCTGTCGTCTCGTACAGCTCGACCGAGTCGGCGTTGGTAGAGGCCGTGATGCGCGTCTCGTCCTTGCCGCCGCCGCTGCCGCCACCACCGCTACCGCTGCCGCCGCCGCTGCCGGGCTTGACGGTCAAGACATTGGGCGAGCCGCGATGGTTGCACACGTACGCGCTCGAGCACCACTTGCCGTCAGCCAGCTGGTAGACCTTGTCCTTGTGGTACGAGTAGCACTTGAGCGGCTTGTTCTGCTCCATGCTGTGGTAGGCGTCGCCGGCCGCGTTGGGGTCCTTGATCTTGTCGTTGAGCCAGATGCTCCACTTGTCGCCGTTGGGCATGGTGGCGAAGGCGCCCTGAGGGCCCCAGGGGTAGGCACCGTTCCAGGGGACGTTGACCATCATGGCCGGCCTGTTCGTCTGCCCGTCCACGTCGCCGGGTAGTAGATCATCTCGCGACGTCGACCGCCGTTGACTCCCAGACCGATGCCGCAGTCAGCCAAGACGAGGTTCTCGCTGGGCGTTCTCTGGCCAAGAACGGATTGAGGGCCGAAACGAGGACGCCTGCCGCGAAGGCAGACCATGATGTGGCGGTGCGCATGTTGAAGGTTAAGAGAGCAAGGAACTCTGTGTGTTGATGCTTCCGAGGGGGACGTTCCGTTGCCTGTGACGTGTGGAGGGAGTTGAAGTAATCACTTGGCTGCTGGGTGCGAAGGGTTGGATGGTGATGATGAGAAATGAAATAGTGAGTCGTCGACATGGCGAACGCCAGGCACTTTATATTCACCTCAAGGTCAATGGCTACCGTTCAGCCTCCCTTTTCCCTGGTGAGGCCTCTCCATGATTCCGGGTCTCACCTCGCACGATGGTGCATCAAGTTCGTACTTCGACCACTCGTTGAGTCGTTTCTAGCTTGCTGTAACCACTTACCTGGAGAGGAAGTTGGCGATGCCATCGTTACCCGAGATGACACTAACATGCGAGTCTTGCAGGTTCTTGGTGGGTCAACAAACTTCTTACTCGGATTAAGGCTGCAGCTGGTCTGGACGCTGGGACGCTGCGCTGCAGCACAGCCCGCAACTGGCGAGCCTGAGGCCAATAACTGTAGCTGAATATCGAACGATGTCACGATGTCCCTCAGTGTGGAGCTACGGGCTCGCCGACTCAATGGAGTCAGTGCAGCTGCCAAAAGGGAAGCCTGAAAGCTGAGTGGTCGACGAGCCCCAGCATGCCGAGGGTCGAGCTTCCTAAGCTCGAGCGAAGGAGCCAAGGTACCTTAGCTTCTGCCGCAGCACGCTTACGCCAAGCCTGCCTGACGATACATCGCGAGGCCGCTCGAGTTTGAGCCTGAAAAAGTTCCCGGGCCGATTCTGCCCAGTTGAAGCACGACGCTTTGCGGCGATGGACCGATATCGCATGTGTGACATGTCGACCAAATTCATTGTGTTCGCTGTTGAGTTTCTTTTGGCTCCCTCTGAGGAGCACATCGACGATGGATTTCTCGTAGTGTTCGGTTACAAGTCAGAGTATTTACCTGACACGGACCGGCAGACCCCTGTCACGGCACGAGGGATGCTCCCACGCAGAATGGCGGCGGCCCAGGGAGCAGTGAATTCCACTTTGCTCCCTTCTCACGTCTATCAAGAACTGCTAGGTTTGGAGGTCAGGGCCTCCTGGTTGCTGATTGCCTTGAGCCTCCCGGCGAACAAAAATCCTCTTCGTCTGCTCCGTCTCTGCGCGCCTCCTTGCCTCTACTCTCTGTAGTCTTCACGGGAAAGGTAATTGAACTCGTGGTGGCAACCGTATCGGAGAGCAGAAACTCGGTTAGCTCCCTTTTTTGATCGTCAAGAAGACGACAAATGCGGTAGATGACCCGAGACCTATCTGCATGGATGTATACCGCGTCGGGTTGGGCAGCAAACAGGTCAGTGTATGGCACTCTACCAGCAACAAACCGATATCTGAGATTACTTCTCACCTCTGCATCTTCCACAGACTCTGGATCGCGTCTGTCACAGAGGACGACTCCGCCGAGGACTCGGGCCTCGGCCCAGTACCCAACACTATCGGCCACGCCGTTCGGATATTGGCCGTAGTCGCGATACCATGGGTGGCAAAAGAGAGTGGCGGGAAATTCCCATCTAGGGTCTACATTTGGGTACTTTTAAAGGCATGAGCAAAGTAGTAATTAGCGTCAAAACTAGAACATAGGTGCGGTCGGTCTCCTGCTCACCTTCACCACGGCCGGCGGGTTCCTCGCCGCCGTGTAAGTTGAAAGACCACCCCTTCACGTGTCCTTGAAACAAAAAAAGACTACCTAACTGCGTTTTCCTAGTGGTACGAGGATTTTGTCCGGCGCTGCCCATGTCCGGTCTGACGTACTCATGGGCTCATCGAGAAGAGATAGACTCGTCCAAGTTCTGGCGCGGCTGGTTCAGCCGCGCCGTCACGGGCGGCTTCGGCTCCTGGATGACGTCGGCCTCGGGCGTCTCCTCCATCGTCCAGTGGTCCGAACGCTTCGCCCGCGCCTACGTCCCCTCCTTCCTCTCGCAGCGCATCGTCGCGACCGGGCTGAGCTACGGCGGCCGGGCCCTCGCCTCGGCGCTCTGCTCCACCGCCGCCGGGATCGCAGTCAACTGGACGGAGCAGCTCATCTACGACCGCAAGGACGTCAACTGGTACGACAGACTCGGCGTCGCGTTCCGGGACGGGTTCTTCTCGGGGCTGTTGATGGCGGGCGTGACAGACTATTGGGCCGCGGTCAAGGCGCAACCCAGGACAGGGGGCATGTTGGAAGAGGTCATGGAGAACCCTGGATTTTTGCTCGGGAGGGCGCGCGCCGTGAATGCGACGGGCGCAAGCGCCGGGTCCGGGATGGCAGACTTTGGTAAGCTGAGCGCTGCGGTGCAGAACACGCAGCCAAGTCAACTGATGCACATTCGGCGTGGTAATCCCTTTAAGGGGTAGCCAGGTAAGCAGGCTAGATGGTGGTTTCGCCGGAGGATCCTCTCTCCTGGGACTTCATCTGAGCCCCATACTCGCGTACTCGCGGTCAGCATCATGAAATGGATTAGCCAACCCTTCATTTCGAAAAGAATAGGGCAGTGAGAAGGAAAAAGGTCCCAAATAGCAGCGCCGTTCATGCAAAGCAAGGAGATCGTCGAAAGGGTGCATGGCTCTCAGAGAATTGCTCGACGGCTCTGGACAACAAGAACAAAACTTCTTTGGGAAGCCAGTTGATTCTTGCCAATCGGGACCCCACAAGAAAAAAGTGGTGTCGCGACTCGTCGAGACAAAAGAGAAAGTCCGCGAGATGGACAAAAGTCGACACGAGCCGGATTTGAACCGACGCCTCCGAAGAGATAAGATTTCGAGTCTTACGCTATAGACCACTCAGCCATCGTGCCTTGATGAGAAGCGGAGGTTTGTGTGGAGATGATGAGGAGCGGTTCCTTGGGCAGTGGAGTCGCAAAAATCGGCAAAAGGGAAAGCTGATCCGATCCAGGTTTGAACTGGAGACCTTCAGTGTGTTAGACTGACGTGATAACCAACTACACCATCGGACCCTCTTGGAGAGGAGAACAGCAAAGAGTGCTGCCAAGTAAGGGGTGTTTGCAATCAGAGTCGAGCTGGCAGAGCAAAGGACAGGCAACGCCTTGCCAACTGACTCCCTGCGTGATCTCTCATGCTATCCATGCCGGCTTGTGTCAGATGAGAAATGTCCCCCCCAACCATCTTTGCCAAGGCTTCCGTGGAAACAAAGACTGCGCCTCGGCAGTGTCAGTCATGAAAAGAAACATGGAACCAGTTTTGTTTGTCTATGTGCTTTTCATTGTTGACCGCCAGTGAGCACTCAATGCCCAGATAGCATTTGTTTCTCTCTGCTGTTGGCGCATAGACAATTTGCCGTTGCCAACGGCAGTTAAGGCACCTCATGCTTCGTGCTGAAAGATGCCTAACGTAAGGTATGCGAGTCGCCTCTTTGAGAGAAATAACTACTGAAAATGTTGGAGGTTGCCAAAGAAAAGCAGGCATCAAGTTTCATCCAACAACATGCAATCCGCCCTGATATCATTTCGGCACCCCGAGATATCCAACAGAGCAGCCTTTGTGGCCCAATCACTGACAAAACGCTCTTTTGTGTGGGAAAATGACGTTTGCGGCCTGCTCGGTGGCAGGACCTTGATAGCGTCCTTTCCTGGTTGGTCGAGACCACCTGTATGAGCAGCCAACAACATCCTGTGGCGCGTGTATCCTGCGACCCTCGCTTGAAGTCAACAGGCAGGGCTGGCTGCAACTGGCATACAAGAAAAGACGGGATGTGTATAAAAGGCGCTCGCGAGGCCTTTGCTCTGTCCAAATATACTCCAAGCAAGTCTTTGCCATTGGATCAGACAGTCGTGACCAAGTTCAGCCCGAGCTTCCGCACCAACAATTTATCATTCTCCACCACTTGTAACCATGTGCCAGCGTTTCGTCTACCAGGAAGTTCACGTCAACTGTACAGCATCTCCGAAACATGTTGTGACGAGGTACGCCCCGCAGCCGGCCTGCGGCAAAAGCGACTGCACAGGGTACAAGGACGTCCATTTTGCCCAGTCCACAAAGAAGAACACTATCTGTCCCAAGTGTTAGCCGGCCACACTAAGAAGCTGGAAGAATCGCAGCTGGACCCCCCTGGTGAGTGAGCCACGAAATGAACACTGCCCACACAGAGTCAGAGATGTTGACGCTAACTGATGCAAGAAACCAAGCCTCGGGTTTCAAGAGTTTGACGTCCATGGGATTAATTTTGTGCAACAGTTGCGATGGCAGGGTTGAAGGGTTGAGAAGCAGCATGAACATGAAGTGGATTGGAATTTGAGGAGTGAACTTGAAGGCGGGTCTTGCTGGCATGCCCGGTTGATGTAAACCAAACAATAGCGAGATAGGTCTGTTTCAACAACGGAGCTTTTCGAGAACAGGTTGTCATAGATATGTTCGTAGGTTTAAGTCTCGTCTAGTCCAAGTTCCATTCGAGAAACCGCTCTCAACCATTGCCACTAGTCTTTGAGTCAGGCGTCGGTTTGGAGAGCATGCCATTTTAGCACACTGGGCTTACACAGCTTCTGTTTGTTGTACGTCCAAACCAACGTCTAATTCTGTACCGCTAAGCACCCACCAGAGTCTGTTCACGATTTGGTGGCGGCCTCCACAGCTCATCCTCCTCGCACGGTTGCTCATGCTCGTTTGGCGGACAAACATATACGTCGGGGTTTTGGCCATGCACAACAGCCGCCCGTATGGCCTCGAGGTCGGCCACGACCTGGTCTGCGGTCTTGTACAGTTGACGCCACAAGCGCGCGGTAACAGCACCGCAAACGTGCTCGTCGGCGGGGGGGAACTCGCCAGCGCGGAAACGGCGATGGATCTCTGGCTCGGTTTCGTCGTACCACCTCATCACATCCTCATAGGTCTCGCAGGAGCGGACGAGGTCCGGAAAGACCTCGGCGCCGGTCATGAGAAAGTGCAGCGCGCTGCCGAGGGCAAAGAGATCGGTCCGCACACTGCAGCGGCCGGGCGGGTCTCGCGGCAGCCAGGCCCTGGCAGACTCGAGCGAGCCGCCATCGAGAACAACGGCACCGGTAGGAGAGAAGTGCTCGCCCTGAAAGTCGGCCAGCTTGAGGTCGAGGTTGGCGTCAAGGAGGAAGTTGTCGTGGCGGATATCGCAGTGCAAGACGCGCCGGGAGTGGATATAGGCCACGGCTTCGGCGGCCTGCACACACCAGGCAAGTCGCCGGTCCAGGGAAACGTCGGGATGGGCAGAGAGGTAATCGTGCGCGTTCCCGTTCGGCATGAACTCGAGGAGCAAGCCGTGCTCGGTCAGGCCCTTCGACTGGATGATGTGGGGATGCGACCCCAGCAAATCCAGCATCTTGGCCTCGATCCGGATCTGTTCCATGTCCTCTTTTTCGCGGGGATATTTGAGCACGGTGGTGTCGTCGATCTCGCCAATGTTGCAGGAGCCGCCGCGGGGGTCGACGAGCCGTTTGACTCCCGGAGGAGCGTATGGCTCCAGGTAGATGTGAGTGACATGGGCCATTGTTGATTGCAAGCAGCGCTGAAGAAAATGCCCAGGCCGGTTTTGCACCGAAGTAGGAGATTTCACAAAAGACCGTAGCAAACGGGTGTGCGTTATGCAGTCAGAGTTTCGGAGTTTCCTGCGAAACATCGACGGGCGTTGGGCGCACAGAAGGCGTCGCGAGGAAGAGGAAGTTCAAAATGTGCTTCAGGCTTTGGTTGCGCAGGCAGCAGGGGGTGGCTGGGACTGGGAGAATCCGATGACCGGATTTGACGTTCCATGATTTGGCTGGCTGGCTGGTTGGTTGGTTGGATGTTTGATTTGGTTGGTTTGGTTGGTTTGGTTTGGGTCCATGCTCTCAAGTGTCCCTCAGACCTACGGCGTTTGCGCCCGTCGTTGGCGACTTTGGCGCAGATGCGTTGGGATGCTCGGGACAAGTTCGCCCCCAGGGCAAATAGCTGGCATATCCGTGTTCAACGGGTAAAACCTCACGATATTCGTCAATCATGTGGGCATGAGATCCATTCACAAACAAAACCGTGGACGAAAGTCGAGACAGGCTGGTGATGACACGGGGCCGAAGTGGGGCCTGTATCGGTGCTTGGCCCGGCCCAGGCTACCCCACACGGGCCGCCGCAGAAAGATGACCGGGGAGCCAATCGAGGAGATTCCTCAAGGCTGCCCCTCTGGTCGCTGGCCACAAAGAACTCTTTGTCCAGTGTCGCAGACCACCACGGCCGCTGCAGGGGACCCTCACACGGCGTCACAGAACGGGACGCCGCCCGGCAATAAGTGCCAATCAGTGCCAATCAGCGCAATCACTCCCGATGACCCCGCCATTTCGCCCTCCGGCCCTCACACTTGACACTTGCGGCGGCTAAAATGCAGCCATCCACACAACCCTGAAACGGTGCCTAAGTCGATAACCATCCACTCGGAGCCATGGCCACGAGGTCAGAACTCAGCGTCAGGGGTCAGTCAGTGTTTGATGTTTCGTTTCTCGGCAGGTGCATCATCCACCTCTGTAACTGTCGCCTTTGTGACCGTTGACCTGTCATCTCATCTCATTTCAGTGAAGGCCCAAACCTTATTTCCCATGTGTCAGACACACGCACCTAGAAGTATTAAAGTCGGTGGAGGACGTTGTCCTGAATGTCTCTTCTCCTCTCCACCCAACACTCGCTCTCCTTCAGGTCATCCAACCCTCGGCTCTCTGTCCTTCCTTCGAATTCGTGATCCTGGGCTGGGCCCACTGTACATATCTATTCGCCTTGCATATATCTTCTCCTCTTCTTTTTCACGATAATTACAGCCGCTCGTTATAATGCACCCCATCTCCCTCTCTCGCCTCCTGGCCGCCAGCGCCAGTGCAACCTCGTCACCCCGTCAAGGCGGTGTCAACCCAAGCGTCATCCCCAAGTCCTTCGGCATCACAGCTGGCGAGGGTCGGGATAAGATCCAAGTCGGCAGCTGCACCGGCGCCAACAACAAGCCCATCCCCTGCTTCTGCCCACCCGCGCCCGACAGCCCCGAGTTCCTCAGGAAGCTCACCAAGGCCCTGACCGACGGCTTCATCTTCAGCAGGGAGCAAGTCGCACTCCCCATCACGCTGGCCAAGTTCAACGACGCCTCCGACACCTCGCCTGAGACCAACAAGCTCCGCGCCACCGCCATGATCCAGGTCATGCAGAACTTCAACCTCACCACCCAGGGCGTCGGCTGCCCAGGTGTGTCGGCACCGGTCCTGGGAGTCATGCAGCAGACTGGCCGGATCGGAGGGGATGCCAGCAACCTGGGAAACTCGGGCAAATAAGCGGAGCGCGCCGGCTTCATGTCCCGTTTCTGCTCCCATTCTTCATCGGTCTGCTTCTGCTTTTCAGTCCTGGTGTGTCAGAGGGCTCGGCTTGAGTTGTTGAAGTTCAGTCCATCACGCTCGCTACCAGACGCTCTTTTCTATCACGCATTCATTACACGACAATTTGCATCCACTCGGCGTTGACAAAGGCCATACCACTCTTTTTTTTTTTCATCGGGAAACGAGGATCGCATCATTCCATGGCCCATTTTTCTCTCAGCACACTCATTCACCCTCCCAGCACACTCATTTGCTCTCTCACCACGCTCGTTCGCTCTTGTCACTCATTTGACACCATTCGTTTCTATCATCGCTCATTTAGACCCATTGTTTCTTCACAAATCGCTCTTTTATTTTCCTCTTTGCTCTTCTTTCATTCATCTTCTCTCACTCTTTTAATAGTTCTACATTGTCTGGGTACCCCTTCATTCCCAAAACCCTTCCAGTGTTCTTTACATTTTTGCATGTTTCCTTTTCAGTCGCTCTCTCTC